TGGAGTGCCATCAGTGTAGGAACTCTTACACAGAACATGTTTCCAACTGTGCTTTAGAGATTGCCCAAAGTACTCCAATACTATTATGCCCTATACTGCCTGCAATCATTTGTCTCCTTACTGAGAAAACAAACTATGTTTTTGGGAGGAGACGCTGGGAAGGACCTTTAAACAATGGAGATGTGTGCAGAATGGTGTGGTGCAAGTGTTTTAACTTTTGCATAACATCCTCAGCCCCTTTCCAGGATGTGGCATGAGGAAGGGCTACCAATTAAAGTTAACAAGAGAGGAAGATGAGCTAGGAAATATAATCTTGATGTATTTTATTGTTTGCCTGGAGGTTATCTGTAAACCTTGTAAAGTTCCCACAACTCTGAATTTTAAGTAAACAATTTCATCCTTAAACTTTGGCCAGTGGTTTGAAAAATCAAGGTGTTCCTGGCTGCATGATGCAGGGAATCTTAAAACCAGAGTACCAGGTAGATGCCCAGGACTGAGGATGGGCTCCACAAGGATGAATTTGAGAGAGAGCTGATCTTGACTGAGCTGGAAGAGAAAAGAATGGTCTCTCCTGGCCTTGGCTAGCAAAACCGCAGCATACAGCTGAGGGGCAGGGAACCTGCCTGAACTGAGGGCCACAAAGTGTCACCTCCATTTTCAAGCTGGCTGGGGAACATACACAACTTGGTCAACTTGAAGTGTTCAGTTACATTTTCAGTCTCACTGTTTTTTACCTTATTATATACTGCTATTCCCTGACTTCCAGTCCTTTCAAGGCAACAACTAGGCAATAGTGTGGGTTTTGGTCTTATACTAATATTTTATTAATATTTTGAACTGTATGAATTTTTTAGTTCATAAGTAGACTGGTGCCTGTCAGACTGCCTGTGCTTTAGTAGCTCTTGGATTTAACTAGCAACTTTTATCTACATTATGGGACTTTCTTTGTTCTTAAAAGCTCTGATGTGCTTAAAAACCTCTGGGTGTGGTTCCCTGGCTCCTTGGGCCAGAGAGCCTCTACTCCAGGAGTAATTCTGTAACCTTAGTGACTTTCTCACTATCTGGGACTTTTCTGGATGGCCTTGAAATGTATGTGACAGACTTGAGGTGAAGAAAACTTGCACTTCCTGCAGGTTTACTTGCACTTCCCTGCAGTGTGTTACTCTAGGCAGTGAGAATAAACTGTGACTGCTTTGTTTCAAGGTGCTCTGCTGCTGGGCCTAAATTCATTCCACTTCCAGGCTGTGAGAAGAGAGAACTTCTTCAGTGTTGAATGATTGTTGTCTTGCTGGTGAGGTTTAACAAAATTTAGCAATCCTGGCTAAATGGGTGTTAGAGCCATCTCTAAAGAAGCAGAAATGCAGGTGACTGCAAGTGGTGCAAAGAAAACTGTGACAGGAATCATAAACAGATGCTCCAGAATATTTGTTGCAATATATTTGAGAGAAGCACAAAACCAACAATGAGCTTTCTCAGTGGTGGTTCTGGGTGGTTACGTGTAGTGTTTAAGAAAAGAGAGTTGTTCCAAATTTAGGTTCTTGTTGGACAGCTGTAATGACCACTTAGCGCTGTGCCAGCTCCAGCGCTGTCGCTCGGTGCCACGCAGGCAGGCAGATCAGTATAATCAGGACTAGTGAGGAAATGGTTCCACAAACCATGCTGGTGATGGTTACCTCCGTGCAGGAAGTGTGCTCCGGGCACTCGGATGCGCAGGGTCTGCTTGCTAAGGAAAGCACCTGCTCGTGGTATGGGTACGACACCTTGCTGTCCTACGCGAGGGCAGCGGGGCAGCAGCAGCTGCCGCCTTTCCGAACGCTCCTCTGGCCGCCCCAGCCCTGCAGTGGAGCCAACTGGGCCCCCACGCTGCTCCTTGGCTCCCGGTGCAGCCGCTGAGCTCCAGCTCTGGCACGTGGGGGCTCTGGCACAGGGCTGTGTACAGTCGAGTGCTAAGACCAGGATGATTCCTCTCCCCGGGATGATTCCTCTTCACATGCTGTCATCGGGCTTTCCCCACGCTTGAGCCAGACGGGGGAAGTGAAGTCATCAGACAACAAAAGGCTGGAGCAATGAGTGCCTGGGGTGGTTTACTAGCTTTTCCTCTGAGGTGTATTGTTTTGAGCTGCCTCTGATTCATTGTTTCTTGCCCATTGGAGCAAACTCCCTGGCTGGGGAAATCCAAAGGATGTCCTTATGCGTGCGCCATTTCTGTTTTTCCCGGAGAAGGGATAGCTGTCCAGGTCAGCATGATGCAGCTGTGGCAGGCAGGAAGGCAGCAGGCTGGTCCCCAGCCCTGCCTCGCTGCTGCCCCAAAGCACCATTCCCTTGTGTGCAAGGATTTTCTCGGTCCCTGCAGCCCACACATCATCTACTGCTCAGCCTTTGCCACTAGGCTGGATGGGAACACAGGGGGCTGGAAGAAACTGGAGGTACCTAATCCCTGATCCAATGGGTCCCTGGTATGGGGGAAGAGGTGAGTGCAAAGCACATCTGCATACAGTGGCTGAAGAGTTTGGTTCCACTCTCTTGGCTCCTGATTGGGGTACAGAGGCATGGTTGACAGTCCTGCATGTCATCCAGACCTCTGAGACAAGGACCTGCTTCCAGGGCCACATCCTGGCTGGGAGTGCTTGGGTACCTCACCACTAGGCCAGCTGTGCCAGCCCAGCCATAGCTCACTCCATCCCTTCAAATGCTCGCTGCTCTAGCAGTTGCTCCTGTTCTCTCTGTTTAGGAAATCCTGGAGCAGTGGGAGCTCTGACCTACCCTGCCAAGCCATGGGACTATTCATTGCATTTCCAGCTTGATGTCACAACAAATGCCATTCTCCTTTGCTTGTTGGGATTTGAATTCATGGAGTCCCCGAAGCACAGGGTGCTGAGGAGGGAATTGAATGAACTGCTGCCACGAACACTGGCAGCTCTGTCTGTTTCACAGCCACTGCAGCAAGCATTTCCAAGTCACCAGCACATATATCCTTTCCTTGTGTCCCTGGTGTCCTGGTCCTTTCTATCCCACCTCCTTTGCCATGTGAGACCAGGAACTGCAGGAGCGCCCTTGTCACTGCTTGCAGAGGGCAGTGAGCCTGGGCAGCTGCCTGTGAAATGCAGTTCAGTCCTCCAGTGCACAGCAGCAAGATCAGAGCCTGCACTTCAGATCTTCCCTGTCCTGATGCCAAAGAGAAGTAGGGTGATGGCAGATGTGCTTGGAGAAGGCCCCCAGCAGTGCTCCATGGTTCAGGAGTGCATGCAGCTGCTGGCTGTGGGGCAGGAGCCCTGGGAGCCTCTGCCTGACATTGTGGAGCATTGGCTGTGTCTCCAACCAGCACAGCTTGCCTAGGGCTGCTGATTTGGCAGTCCAGATAACAGAACATTTCCTAGGGATGACTGAAGAGCTGGCGGAGGGCCGCAGCCTGAGGCACGTTCCTGCCGGACAAGGCTGGGGCCACGAGTGTTTACAGACCCACAGTGAGAGGAAGGCCTGAAGCTCCTGCTTTGTCCCAGCTAGGGAGGTGTTATGCCTCCATTTTTGTAGCCAAGATCTGGGTTCACGCTCAGCTGTGGGTTTTGGTGGGTGGATTAGCCCTGGTGTAGTCTCTTACTTGGGCCAAGGGGGCTGAGTCCCACTTCACTACAGGGTGGGAGCTTCTGTTCCAGCAGCACCCGGACCCACCCACCACTGGGCTCAGCCCTTGTGCAATTGCTGCTGTAGGAATGGCATGCCAGACTTCCAGCTGTGCCTTTGTGTCTCTCTGCATGGAAAAAGCTCAGGGCAGAGAGCCAGGGATGGCTGGCAGCAGCTCTGCAGTCTGCCTTTTACTCCTCTGCTGGCTTCTCCTGGGAAGAAATGAGGCCCCTTTCCCCTTCGTGTGTTGGGAAGAGGTCCCTGGGGCACTCGTAGTGCCAGAGGTATCTTTACAGAGATGATGCTGATCCAGGAAACATTTCTCAGTGTATGAGCCCCATGCCATCACCTCCCACTCCAGCTGGTCCTTCCCCCCTTTCACAGCGCACATCGGACAAGCTCTTTCCGCTTCGGATTATCTCTGCAGGCGGACTTGGCTGCGGGCCCCACATTCCTTCCAGCCTAGCGCTGCCCTGAGCCTGGGCCAAGCCCTGCGTGCTGCTGCTATCGCTCGGGCTGAGCCTGGAGGAGACGGTTCTGCTGCTGGGGTGAACCCCACTGGAGCCTGAGATCCTAAATGCCATTTTCCTTGAGCTCCAGGAGGGCTGTGGTGGGCCTGGTGCTGGTGCTCGGCCGGAGGTTACCCTGACAGCCATCCCTGCTGGCCATCCTCGATGGACCAAAGCTGCTGCTGCTCCCTCACAAAGTTCCACTTTGCATAAGGCCTTTCCCAGGCCCGGCAGGGCATGTCCCCATCCCTTGGGGCAGATGATGGCATCAGCTAGCCATGAGCAGTGAGGCAGACCCTGCATTCCACAAGCAGGGAGGGAAAAACTATGGCTGGATCACTGGGGGAGCTGTGGAGGAGCTCAAAGGATTAGGGTGGGCCTGTGCTGGGGCAGGGGCTGCTGGTGTTTCTCTAAGAGCAGAGGTGGCCCCAGCACCAGTCCTTGAGGGACTAATGCCCTTTCCTTCACCCGTCAGCTGTGGCTTGAACCTGTGGGTCCTGCTGCAGGGCTCAGGCCCAGAGGTGCTCCCCTGTGCTGGAACATGGGGAGGACTCCCTCTGTGGCCCCCAGCCCAGCCCTCCACCCTCCTCCTGCGCTGCAGCAGTGTTTGGCCTGGGGCCAGCTGGTCTCTGTGCACACCAGGGGCCATGGGGGGGTGCTTTCATAGCAGGGTGGGAGCAGTGCAAAGGAACCGGGGGGCCAGCTCAGCACTGCAGGGAGCAGCAGGCCATGGGGAGGTCCCATCCTTCAGGGATGGATCAATTCAGGCAGGAGCTGGAGGGGTGCAGGGAGCAGGGGCTGAGGGGGGAGCTGGGTCTGCATGGCGTGGGTGAGCATGCTCAGCTGCTTGGCAGATGAACAATGTGCTCTCCCAGCCAAGCCCACAGAGCTGCTAATTTTAGCGATTACGTTAATTTTTCCAAGCAGTCTCAAGTCCCTTGGTGATTCACAGCCACTCAGCATTGCTGCATCCACCACCCTGGCCGTGGGGATGTGCTGGAGGTGTGCCAGCATGGACAGACAGACACGGGACTGTCCTGCTATCCTGTAGCAAGGCAGACAGCTCCAGCAATAAGTGACGCTGCTGTTCTGGGGCTCCATCATCTCCTTGAAGGTGCAGGGATATAACAGTGGTTTGTTCCACACTGGCCAGGGCTTGGTCAGGGGGGCTTCATCCTCTGGTTGGTGCAGCTGGAGGTGAGAAAGGTCCACCAGGCAATGCTGAACCTGGGGCTTCCCTGCAGCATGAGACCCACTCCATCCAGCGCCGTGTGAGTTCCTGGCTGCATGGAACAGCCTGTCCCTGCAAAATGCTAATCTCACCCTCAATCACATCCGTTTGCTGTCTCAGGAGCTGCCTCTCCCCTCCAGATGTGTGGAGTGGGTACATGCTGCCGTCCCAAACCCTCACGCCCTCTGTTTCTCTCCTTTGTAAGTAGCCTGGGGCAACCTCCCAATGCTCTCACCTCCGGGAGTGGCTGCAGAAGTGATTCACAGGCGTGTGCTGTTTGTTACTCAGCCCTGCTTTATTTCTAGCCATGTCTTGAAAATAATCATCTTTTCCGGCCAGAAGCCAGAGCCAATTTCCTGAGGCTTGGGTAGGACTTTTGTCAGGACTATGACCTGGTCTGCTCTGAAATTCTGCGTCGTGGAAGGGACCATAATCTGATGATCCCCCTGTGGGGACAGGGTGTTTGAGGTACCCACCACTGCACCCCTGTCTGCCCTGGGGCAGCACGGCTTAGAAGGAGGCGAGCCCAACATTCCTCTGATGAGCAGGGCTTGGGGCAGTGGTTTATCCAAAGTGCTGAGGTTTAGTTTCTGTGTTGCCTTGCTGAAAACTGTGGGCTTCTGGATGAGTCAGAGTGGGCAGAAGCCCAGCAGCGCTGGCAGTGGGCAGATAGCCATGATAAGGCTGTGATAAGGCTGTGATAAGGCTGTGATGAAGCTGTGAGAGCCCTTTTAGAGCCCTGTTCTCGTGCCAGGGCTGCAGGGAGCAGGCAGCTCCCAAGCCCAGTGCCTGAGCTCCAGCTGCAGTGCTGTCGGAGAAGTGGGGAGATTGTTTTGGGAAGTGTGGTTCTGGGAAACTGCTGTGTCACAAGTGTGAACTAGAGCCTTTGGTGGGTGGTGTTTTCAAAATGCCCATTCTCTGTGCCCAGATGCCTGGGTGTTGCCCCAGAGGAGGCAGGAAGCATGGCCAGGGGTAGTTTGAGCCTTGACACTCACTTCCAGCCAGAGCAGGGTCCGTGGCCATCCAGCATGTCCTATGGCAGATGTGATCTGACACAGTGGTGGCCGTGGCCTCCAGCTGAGGGCCCACTCCCTACCATGTTCCCACGATCCCTGTCTCCTTCCTTTGAGACTGTCTGGGGACTCTGCTCTCCATCCCTGCAGTTTGCTGTTTGTCTTGGTCTGGTCCCCTCTCTGAAGAGGGCAGCTTCCACTGCCCTGCACGCTCCCACGACAGCATGACACATTTCCTTCCCGTTCTCCGGCAGCAGCCCCCCGCTGCTCCCATCCTGACCAGCTCTGGTGCCACCCGGAACCTGAGCAGAGGCTGCTGCAACCGGCAGAAGCATGAGTGGGCTGATTAGAGGTAGTCAGGGAAGTTCCAGCTGCCCCGTGCTTAGCAAGCCACTGCAGTGGCTCTCAGGAAGCCCAAAGGGGCCACATGCGCTGACTCTCCTTAGCCACTTCCTCCCGAATATCCATTCCTGGTAGCTGCTGGACTGGGACTGCCTGGAGAAGGTGGGGAGACCTGGGCTGGGTGATGGGACCTAAGGGCACCCCAGTGTGCTGGAGGGGGCAGGGGAGTGGTGACAGCAGGTGCCCCTGAACTAGTGGATGGATGCTTTCCAAACACCAGGCTCTATCACCTGTGTGTCAGGGCTGCTGAGGGGGCAGAGCAGGGGCAGCCACTGGGAGACAGTTCTTGTGCTGATCTGGGGTTGCAGGGATGCCTGCAGTGGGGGTTCTTTGGCACCAAGGTGTTCCTCATGGCTCGTGGGCAGTGCTCTGGCTTCCTGAGCACTCTCTGAAGCAGCCTGGCCCGTGGCTGGCACCCACACAGCTGCTGACCCTGGCACGGTGCTCGCTTCCTGGCAGCGCTGGTTGTGGTGCCCACAGGACAGAGCCTGCAGTGGGTGCTCGGGGTTTGTGGCCCATTGGCATCTGTGGCTGTGGGGGGAATGAGAGCTGACCCAGGCAGGGTCGGTGTGCCAGGGGTCTGCCTGCACCAGTGGCCCTGGGCTGAGGCACAGCCCAGGGTCCTGACACTTACAGGAGCCATAGACAGGGAAGCAAGAGCTGTGCCTCTGCCAAGGAAGTGCTGTGGAGCAGCCCTGGTGTGAACTCGTGCCAGGGAAGTACAGAGTTGTGCCCAGGGATCTGGCTTTGCCTTATCTGCCCCCACGGGCTGTGTCCCACTGGGGACCAGGGGGACTCCCAGGGCTGAGCTGCTGCCTGGGCACAGGCTGACATGAGCAGCATGTTCACAGGGCCCTCTGCTTGTCTTCTTACAAGAACACTGGGGTTCAGGAGAGGGAAACCCAAAACTCCATCCTTGAGATGCTTGCTCTGCTGAGGAAATAGAGGTTGGAAGCAGCTCTGCTCCAGCGCTTTCCCTAACCCCGCCACTGCCCCTGTGCTGATTCATTGATTTGGACGGGTTATATACTGGGAGGGGAAGAATGAACCACACTCTGCTCTCTTGCCAGCACGGAGCTGTGCTCGCTCGGCGCTCGTGGCTGCAGGACACTCGGGTAAGTCTCCTTCTCCTACTGCCCCTGTGAGTGGACACAGATTCCAGGGACTCCCAGGGCAGCTCTGAGGGTTGGTGGTGGAGTGGTGGGATCTGCATGTTCAGCACCTTTTTATTTGATGGAGATGTTTATCTTTCGGGTTCTCCGAAAAAGTGAGACCACTTAGATGCTGTGGGAGCTGAAAGTTACACAGGCAATGTATCCCAGACAATGATCAACAAAGAAAATTAAGGGGGGCAAAGTAATGTTTTGGGGGGACCGATGTTAGGAGAAATGGGATGCTGAGGGGCTGAGCAGCAGAGAATGTTCATCTTCTTGGTCTGTAAGTTTTTTGTCCCTAGAAGAAAAAGAGAGATCAATTGTTTCCAGCTGCCTTTCCTGAAGGTTGCTCCAGTGTGGGTGCTCTCAGTGCTGCCTTAGCAGGGAGTGACATGAGCAGGGCTTTTGATGTGCCGAGCTTTTGGGGAAATTTATAAATGTCTTGCTATAAACAAAGCTGTTCTTGGATGCAGATTGTTTCCATATGGGAAACATAAACTATGCTGGCTTGTGGGAGGGTTCCTCCCTCCCTGCCTGAGAGCAAGAGTGTTCCCTGGGGGTAGGGCAGGGAGGAGGGCAGGGGCTGTGCCCCAGCACCCTGGGTGCCAGCTGGGGCACTGTGGCCGCGCCCCTGCGCTTCCTGAGTCGCCTGTCTGGGTGAGCTGTGCTCAGAGCAGGAGTTGCAGGTTTTCTCCCTTCCTTGTGCCACATGAAGCTGTTAATGGGGAGCTGTTCCATGCCAGCCTGGCACAAGGCTGCTGCTTTAATCTAGGGAGGGAGGGAGGAAGTTGCCAGGCCAGAGGAGAGAGGAGAGGGTGTCCATGGTAGCTGTGCTTGTGGGGTAATGGGGAACTTTGCTGGGCACCACCCCTGGGACCAGCCTGCATACACGTGCTCATATCAGTCACCCCATGGATGGCAAAAACAGGCCAAAAAAAAACCTCCTGCTGGATGGGGATGGGGGGAACACAGGGCCAGCCTGTACCCAGCCTGTGCTGGGGAGCTGGCAAGGGTTCTGTTGACCCAGGCTCCTGCAAGACTGGAATTAAGGCATCCCTAGGCACTGCTCTTGGCTTTGCAACAGGAGCTCAGTGCCAGGAGGGTGCTTGGGGTGCTGGGGCAATGCTGGGAGCAGCTGCAGGTGCCACGAGCCAGCTCTGATGAAGGTCTGGGCTCCTTGGTGGTGCCAGGAGGCCAGTGCTGCTGGTAGCAGCTTGCCACACTCTGTGAAACAGGAAACCACACTCTGGCTGCCAGAGGAGCCAAGAGAGCTGGGACGCCAGGGATGCCACTAATAGCTGTGGTAGGGCAGCCAGGCACTGTGGCCTCCAGTTCTGTCTTGCTCTGAGCTGCTGCCTGGGCTGAGTCAAGTCTTGCCAGCCCCAAGCTTTCCTTGCCTGCCCTTCTCTGCCTCGTTGACATGCTGGAGCCAGGATGCCCACAGCCTCAGTGTCTTTCTCCTGGGGGAAAGCAGCGCCCATCCTTGGCAGTGGCTCTGGGAGCTGGAAAATTTCAGGGGTTGAACCCCATCCTTTGTTTTATCTGCAGGCCCAATGGATCAGGGAGGCTGGCAGCGGTGGCTGCTGCTGCTGGTGGGCATCCAGCTGGCCAGTAGCCAGTGCCCAGAACAGTGCCAGTGTGTGCGTAGCACCCAGGTGGAGTGCTTTGGTGCTGGCATCACCACAGTCCCCAGCCCCATCCCTGCCAACGCCATGACCCTGCAAATCATCAACACGCGCATCGCCGAGCTGGGCGACGCCGCCTTCGGCAACGCCTCCCTGCTGATCGGGCTGCGCGTCGAGAAGAACATCCTGTCGCGCATCAGCCCCGGAGCCTTCCAGAACCTGCCCGACCTGCGCTACCTCAGCCTGGCCAGCAACAAGCTGCAGGAGCTCCCTGTGCAGGTCTTTGAGCCTCTGGACAAGCTGGAGTCTCTGCTCCTTTCCAGCAACCAGATCCTCCAGGTCGAGCCTTCCCACTTCGCCCATCTGAGCAACCTCAAAGAGCTGCAGCTGCACGGCAACAACCTGAAGGAGCTGCAGGAGGGTGTGTTTGACCAGCTGACCAGCCTCACCAAGCTCAACCTGGCCAGGAACAACATCGACCGCCTGCCGCCCCGGGCCTTCGAGCGGCTGGCGCGGCTGCAGGTGCTGCGGCTCTATGAGAACCGGCTCAGGCACATCCCGGTGGGCACCTTTGATGGGCTGCCGGAGCTGCAGGAGCTGGGGCTGCACCAGAACCAGCTGGAGACGCTGTCCCCGGAGCTCTTTGTGCACAACACCAACCTGCAGAAGCTCTACCTGTCCAACAACCTCCTCACCGCTCTGCCGAGCGGTGTCTTCTTGCCCCTGCACGCTCTCGCCAAGATCACCCTGCACGTCAACCGCCTGCGGGACATCTCTCCCAGTGCCTTTGGGCCCATGCCCAACCTGCAGGAGCTCTGGCTTTACGAGAATGAGCTTTCCACCCTCCCCACCGCCGTCTTCAGCAACCTCACCCAGCTGCAGCTCCTGGTTCTCAGCAAGAACCGGCTGCGGTCGGTGGCACCGGGAGCTTTCCAGGGCTTGGGGGAGCTGCTGGAGCTGTCGCTGCACTCCAATGCTCTGCGCCGTCTGGATGCCCGGGCACTGGAGGGGCTGCCCAAGCTGCAGAACATCTCTCTGCACCACAACCAGCTGCAGGCACTGCCACGGGGCCTCTTTGGGGCCACCCCTGGGCTGCAGCACCTGCAGCTGCACTCCAATGCCCTGGAGTACCTGCCTGCTGGCATCTTCTCCCCACTGACTGCCCTGCGAGAGGTGAGGCTGCACAACAACTCCTGGCGCTGTGACAAGGGCATCCTGCCCCTGCAGGGCTGGCTGGAGGAGAACCCTCACAAGGTGGGTGAGATACCCCCACTGTGTGCCCAGCCTCCCGCCCTGCAGGGCATCCCCATCGCTGGGCTACCACAGGACCATTTCCTCGACCCCCAGCCCCCTTCTGCTGCTCCCCATCCCAGCACCCTGCTCCCTGCTGACACCTCTGGGGAAGCATCACCAGAAGATGCCTCGATGGAGCCCCCCACGGGGCTGCCAGCCTCCCCACAGGAGGAGGAGGAGGAGGAGGAGAAGAAGGAGGAGGAAGAGAGGGGGCAGTGGGGGCTGACACGCCTGCAGAGTGGGGTGGTGGTGGCAGTCATCGTGCTGGTGTGTGTGGCTCTGCTGGCTGCTCTGGTGGCACTGGTGGTCTATGGCTGCAGGAAGAAGAGCCATGTTGTGCTCATGAGGATGAAGGCTCCGAATGAAGCCTGAGTATCTGGCAGACCCAGAGGGCAGAGGTGCTTGTGGGGTCAAAGGACATGACAGTGGCTCTGCATCAGCTGCCCTTGCTGACTGGGGTGGGACAACATCACCGTGTGTGCTGTGTGTACCACTGTCCTGCTCTGCTTTGCCCTGCCCCTGCTCTGCAGCAGGGCCTCCCCACTGAGTGACCTCTATCTGCTGCCCACTATCCCCAGCCCTTCCTGCCTCCGGGGCAGCCTCTCTGCTCATTCCCTGCCCGGGTCCAGCAGCTGAGGTGTGGGATGCAGAGAGGGACCCCTCGAGCCAGGAGCCACAGCCTGGCCATGATGGTGCTTTACCCCAAATAACAGGACTTCCCCATCCTTCACCTTGCATCATTTCCTGCAGTGCTGCTGCCCTCATGCTGCCTGCTGCCCTCACCCCTGCCCAGCCCCTCTTCCCCACCTTCTGCCCCCACCATGCCTCCCCCCTTGCCCCTGCCTGGGCAGGCAGTGTGAGCCGTCGTGCTGGGCCAGGAGCCGAGCGAGCACCTTCGCCCCAGGAGAGCTGCATGTCCTCTGCTGCTCCATCACTCACCGGTGCCTGGGCAGGGCTCCCCGTGGGGCTGGGCTGCTGCCAGGCTGGCACACCCTGAGTGTCTCAGCTGCGTCCCAGTTGCCCTCCCTGCCTGCAGGCAGGGCAGGCCAGAGCACAGCCAGCACCTCCTCCTGCCCACAGCACCTGCCTGCTTCCCTCATGCACCTCCAGCCAGCAGAGCCAGGGGACAGTGTGCTGGCATTGGGGATGGGCAGGAGCAGCCCTCCAGCCCTCACTGCTCGCTGGTGCTGACCCTGCTGTGGCTGTGCCCCTGCCTGCTGTGCCCTGCCTCGGCCCCACAGGGTGCCAGGGGCTTGCACTGGCCCCACTGTGAGGGTAGAGGAGTGGGGCAATGGGTGTGAAGTGTCTTAGGGGCTGGGAGAAGCCCCTGTACTCGTGCTCCTGGACTGCTAGAGCATGTTGGAGCTGCATCTACTGCACCCCATTCCTTGTCCTCATTTCATTAACACTCTCCACCAGCTAGTGAGCAACCTGGTCCTGCTCTGCTTCACAAAACTTCTTCATCCTCTTCTTACTCCCTGGAGTGCCCTCCTGTGTGTGCCCAGTGCCCCTGTTTGGTGGCAGCCCTTGGCCAGGGGAGATGCTGACAGCAGGGTCAGCAAGTGCTGCTGCTCTGCAGTTTGCAAATGGGTGCCACGCCATCCCCCCAGAGCACCTGTATCCAGCTGCCTTCTGCAGCTGTAGCACGACCACGGGGGGATTCAGCTCACCTCCACGTGTGCTGCAGTGGCACCAGGCTGCCTGAGCTGCTGTTTGGTGTCTGTAGTGCTGGCTGCTTGTAGCACCTCCCTAGCCCCTGCTGGCACAAGCAGCTCCACGCTGGTGCCTGTGGTGGGTCACTCCTCTGAGCTGAGTCCTGCGTGGTAACAGGAGACACGGGACTGTGTCATGGGGCTGTTGGGTGCTGATGTGTGACCTTCCCATTAAAGTGCCTTTGTCCACTCCAAGTGCCAAGAGCTGTTTATTCACTCCTTCATGGTGGGCAGAGGGGGAATGGCCCAGCAGGAACAAGGGCTGCACTCTGAGGAAACTGAGTTTCCACTCCTCAGAAATTTTTACAGTATTGAGGAAAAGCCTGTACAGATTGGTAAGTCTGGGAGAGGGTTAGTGGGCTGTGTTTGCAGAGCCCTTGCTCATCCCTGGACTCCAGCCTGGGATGGGAGTCCAAGGAGGGTTAAGCCATACAACAGAAGTGGGTGGGCTTTTAGAGAATGAGCTGAGACCTCAGCAAGCTCCTCAATGGAGACCCTCTCTCCTGCAGAGTCCACTGCTGGGGTGGTGGGGAGCTTGCTTGATTCCCCAGAGCTGGTTGCCACTGGATTGTGCCAGCTGTGTTTTTCCAGGTGTCACCATCTGCTCCATGAGACTGAGTGCAGTAAGTCTCCTTACTGCAGAAGTGACTCCTCCTTCCCCTGGGGGTGCCTCCATCGCTGCTGCCAGCCCAGCCTGTGCCAACACAGGCCCTTGCCATGCAGCTTTTATGGCAGTGTGTGCTGCTCCTCTGGGCAGGTTGAAACTCCTAGGGAGTTCAGCTGATCCATGGGTCCCTCATCATCCCACTCCTGGCTGGGTCACCAAGCCCCTGGTGACCACCATAATGGTCCCACAGTGGTCCCTTCCCCATAGAATCATAATGTTGGAAAAGATCTCCAACATCATGTTCAACCTTCATCTGCCTTGCTAAGCTGCATCTGGTCTCCTCTCATGGCAGAGATATTTTAAGCACCATTTCCCAGTGAGATTTAACAAAGTCCTGGGGTTCTCTTAGGGGGATTCTGGAAGTAAGTATGTTGACCTTGGTGTGGGACTGGAGCCACCTATGACAGCAGCTCCCTGCCACCATCCCTGCAGCAGTGGATGTCCGGGGCCAGAACCCCACTTCCTTGCCAGGATGCTCGCAGGCAGCTGCCTCTGGCCTCACCTCCAGTCCCTCTGAGGCTGGGTTATTTTTCAAAGTGCTCCAAGGACACGGGTTGTTGTTGCCGATAAGCAATGAGGGGCAGCTCCGCCCCAGCAGGAACAGCTTGTCCCTGGCTTCAGCTGACTTCCCATCTGCCCCAGAAAACACTGTCCCACCTCAACAAGCAGCATCCCTGCAAAACTGCCACAGGTTCAGCCACCATGCCCATGATGCCACACTCGGTAAGTGGTGCCCACACTGCTTGGGTACTCTGGGGGCTTGGGATGGGTGGGAGCCACTGTTGGCTCTGGTGAACAAAGCAAAATAGAGAAAAGGAAATTCCAAGCCCAGTGCTGCTCTCGAGCACTGGTGTGAATCCAGGAGAGCTCCACTGATGGGGGGTGTCTGTAGGTGGGCATTGCAGTGGGGTGGGCAATATCCCCATCACGAGGCAGCACTGGCATGTATCCCAACTAGGGAGGGACTGGCAGAGGTCTGGAGGCCACTGCTTCAGAAAGTACTTCTGTGGGATGGGCACAGGCATTTGGTCAGGCTGAATATTTCCTTGTGGAAAAAGAAGTACCTGGCAGACAATTAGAAATACAAGTGGTGGAGCCCACTCCTATTGTCACTGAGCTCAGAGCAGCCCTGCAGGGTTGTTCCTATCACCCAGTGTGTGCAGCACAGCCCTGTGTTTCACATATTCTCCTGCCTCTGAGCCTGGCTTTGTGCCTGTGGACACATCTGAAGAGGGTACAGGTTCCCTCCAAGACTTCCACAGAGAGGGTGGGTGGGGGCACAGAGTAAAAACCCTGGGGAGACATCTGGGAGAGAAGTGCTCCCCATTCCTGCAAGGGGAGTGCTGGAGAGGTGCTGGCAGCAGGGGCTGGAGGGATGCATCACGGCCAGGGCAGCTGCCTTTGCCGGTGGTGTCTCAGAGATTGATCCTGCTGCATTTCTGGCTGCACAAGCCCTTTCCCCAGCACTGCCTGCCTGGGGGTGCATGGGGTGAGGCTTGGTTCCTTCTCTAGTGCAGGCTGGTGATTTACATGTTGCTGGAGCTGGGGTCCCTGCTGGTGGGGGCACTGTCCCCATCCTGCCCCCCTACCTGCCAGTGCTATGACACCTCCAAAGTCTTCTGCTCAAACGAAAGAATGCGGGAGATCCCGGAGGGCCTGCCAGGAAGTGCCACCCACCTCTTCTTCGTGGAGACAGCCCTGAGCAGCATCCACAGCAGGGACTTGGGCTCCAGCACCATCCTCACCAAGCTGGTCTTCATCAATAACAACATCCAGGAGCTGGAGGCTGGTGCCTTTCAGGGGCTGCCCAGCCTTACTGAGCTGGAGGTGTCAGGCAGCCCCTTGCCAGCCGTCAGCCCTGGGGTGCTGGCAGGGCTGACCAGCCTCCGGAAGCTCTCCCTCAATGCCAACGCCATCCGTACCCTGCAGCCGGGGCTCTTCACTGCCTCTTGCCGCCTGCAGGACCTGAGCTTGTCAGGGAACAGGATTGAGGCACTGCCCCCTGGCATCTTCCGCCCCCTCCGGCGGCTCCAGACCCTGGACCTCTCACAGAATTTTCTGGCTGAGCTGCCAGATGGGCTGCTGGCCCCGCTTACCGCCCTCCGTGTCCTCAAGCTCAGTGACAACCTGCTGGCACAGGTGCCTCCCGGTGCTTTCAGGGCACTTGGCCAGCTGACTGAGCTCCACCTGGATGGCAATCATCTGGAGGAGCTGCCCTCCGGCATCTTCTCCGGGCTGGGGGAGCTGCGGCGGCTGCAGCTGCAGCACAATACCCTGGGCAGCCTGGCCCCTGACATCTTCACAGGTCTCCTCAACCTCACTGTCCTCAGCCTGGAGGGCAACAACCTGGCCACCGTGCCTGCCATCCTGTTCACTGGCACCCCTGGCCTCCTCCACCTCTCTCTGGCTCGTAACCAGCTGGAGACACTGCCCCAGGAGCTCTTTGCTAACCTGTCGGTGCTGGAAACCCTGGTGCTCTCACACAATGCCATGGATCACTTGCCCACGGGGGTTTTCCAGGGGCTGGCAGGGCTGACAGAGCTACAGCTGAGCCACAACAATCTCTCCAGCCTGCCGGCGAGGCTGCTGGCTGGGCTGCCCCTCCTCACCGCCCTGGTGCTGGACCACAACCGCCTGGCCCGCCTGCCCCCGGGCTTCTTCCATGCCAACGATGAACTGGTGCGTGTGGGGCTGTCCGACAACCCCTGGGTGTGTGACTGCCACCTCTCCTACCTCCTGCACTGGCTCCAGAGCTTTGCTGAGCCCCTCATCCATGGCCAAGCCTTCTGCTCCAATCCAAGTGCTCTCCGGGGCCAGGCCCTGCTGGAGGTGTCCCGCGGGCAGCTGGAGTGCCCAGGAGCACACGGTGTCCCCCCGGAGGAAGGCTGGGACACAGATGCTGCGGGGCAGTGCACTTACACCAACCCCGAGGGCACTGTAAGCGTGGCCTGCAATGCCACAGCCTGTCATCGGCTCAGCCTTCGCCTCCCTCCTCCTGGGCAGGAGCAGGGCTTGGGGCCGGGATACCGGGGTGCCTGGGTGCTGCGCTCCCGCTGTGGCACGCTGCAGGTCAGTGTCCTTGTCACAGCACAGAGCAGGAACGAGCCCACATCACCAGCTCTCTCCTCGGCACCCTAGAGCTTGGGCAGGCGTTTGCTTCTGCTCCGGCAGCCTCTGAACCAGCCTGGGAAACAAAGCAGCTCTCTGTCTTGCTCTGCTACCGCTGCCATGGTCACCAGCTGTCACCGAGCTCCCTGCAACAGCTGGCCTGGTGGTATTTATCCTCACAGCTATGTGTTTCCTCTGTGTTTCAAATATAATTAAAATTTATCTAGTATTTCTGTGCTGCTAGTTCTTATGGCAGAGAGAGGAATCATTCTGTTCCCCCACCACTGTCTGTGCATCTGGGAGGGGCAGTGGAGGTCACTGTGGTACACCGGGATCTTGTCAGGAGCTGTGCATGCTGTGGCACAGGCACAGGTGCCTGGTGGTGAGTAGGTGCCACTCTGGCAAGCTCACGGTGTGCTCATGTCTGCCCCTGCAGCCACCTTCCCTCGGCACTGCAGAGGGAAGAGAGGCCCAGCTGCAGCCTGGAAAAACCTCAGGACACAGATTTGTGCTGTCCAAGAGAGGTGTGGGTGAGTGCTGCTGAGTGCCCAGCAAGGGGCTTGAGCCAGCCCAGATGTGCACAGGCAGGTCCCCTCTGACCCTGCCAGGGCCTGGCCTGCAGCCCTGCAGCCTGAAGATGGAATGTGCCAAGTTTCACCTAAACAAGAGGAAGAGCTTTGTTGTGAGGGTGAGCAGAACAGGTTGCCCAGCAAGGCTGTAGAGTCTCCTCTGAAAATACTTGAAAGCCATCTGAACAGAGCCATGAGTACCCTGGGAGCCCTACTTCAGCAGGGAGGTTGGACTAGGTCCCTTCCACTGGTCCCTTCCAACCTCTCCCATCCCCGGATTCTGATCCTGTGGAGATGAGGCACAAAGTCCCACCCAGGGGTGACAGGTAAGGCGTGTGCTCCCCTGGGAGCACACACGGGGGTGTCCGTGCCAGAGTGTCCCTGTGCCTGTCCGTGCCAGAGTGTCCCTGTGCCTGTCCGTGCCCGTGAGTGTCCCCGAGTGTCCCCGAGTGTCCCCGAGCCTGGGCCGTGCCTGGCGGTGCTGCGGCACCATCTCGTGGCCATCGGGACATGGCTGTGTACGACCTTGATATTGGAAAGGGGTAAGTCTGTTGAAAATGTGCGGTAGTTTTTAAATTTGCCAGGAAAAGTGCAATGAAACGCAGCAAGCAGAATCTGAGTTTTATAGGAGCAGGTGCAAAGGGAAGTTTGAATGCAATCCGTTCAATAACCCATTGGGAAGCAATGGATATCCTGTCATTTTGCCTCAAAATGAGCATCCCACAGGACACCCTGCACTGGCCAGGAGCTCTGGGTGTCACCATGGGAGGGTCTTTTGCTTGCACTGGGGTGCAGCACACAATACTAGGGCCAGCAAGGTGTGGAGATGTGAGGCTGAGCACAGAGCCTGGGTGCTGTATCTGTCGAGCCACAGAGGTTTCACTGTTTAAAAGCATTAAAAATTACTTCAGAACTGCACTTTTAGCTACATAAGGCAAATCCTGAGGAATGAAACAGCTGTCTGTTGTGTCGATGGGGGTGGTGTTTGTGAAACCGATGAGTTACCCTGGTGGAGATATGGGACCACAGAAACAGACCATGGCCTGCAAACAGGCTGGAGATCTTCAGCTTTCCCTGGATGTGACGAGTCAAGTGGTGCCAGCAGATAACGCCTGGGGAGTACGTGACTGCGTCCCCTCCAAGGGGTTTCTGCTGTGGCCTCCTGCACTGGGGGCACAGCTCCTCTCCTGGGTCCCGGCTGTCCCTTATCTCCCCGCACAGACCTGTGTCCTGACCTCATGTGAAGCTGAGCCCCGTGCCTGGGACGTGGATAAAGAGCTGGCCAGGTGATGAGACCCCCATCCGGTGTCCTCACTCCTGGCTTGGCATGGCTTGCTCCGCTGGCTGAACTCATTTGCAAGCGCTCAGCCAAGTAAGTGATGCAAAATGATTTTTTTAGCTCTTTAAAATGTGCTGGGAGGGGTGGTGTGGAGGGCTGATTGTTTCCTTGCAGCAAGGATCAGGGGAGGCTTCAGTGCCATGAGCTGGGACCATCTCTCCATGACTCCGCCTGGCTGGAGTAGGGGACAAGCACGAGACCACAGTGAGAGATTTAAAAGGGCTTTGTGGTTCAAAACTGTCTATTTTCATCCCCACCCACTCAGATGTTTCCACATTTCACCCACTGCACTGCCCCTGTGGCAGAAGTGAAGCAGGAACTTCTACAGCCACAGCCCCAGCTCTGCCGCCTGAGTCTCCCTGGGGAGAGGATGGGCAGGGATCAAAAGTGGCTTCTGCCCTGGGAGCCCTGGGGGGCAGCTTGCACAACCGAGGTCACCTCCCATCCATTTCTCTTCAAACCACGTGGCTTTCAGTCTCCTGTATTTGCTGACGTCTCAACATTCTTTAAAAAATAACTTTTCATAGCAAATTTACCTTCCCAGAATAAGTTTTTTTGCATGGTTAGCTTTGATGGTCACCCAAGAAGAAACCCGTACCTCTTTTCCCTGCTCCCACCCAGGGCTGTGAATTAAAAGCTGGAAATATGGTCCCAGTGAGGTGCTCATGGCAGTTAAACCCCAGTTAATGTGTTAGCTGAGTGTTTCCAAATGTTTCCATGGGAGAAATGGGCTTTACTAGTAGGTGTGCATCAGTGATTTCACTTCCTACCTGCAAGGTCAGAGCCCCAAATGTTAGGTGTTAAAGTGTTCATCTGTGGACATTCCGAGGTTTTAATGAGCCTTGCTGTAAAGCTTGGTTGCTGTTCACAGGTTAACTATTACTGTCTGTCAGAGCTGTATAAACAAGGCCAAAATGTGGTGCAATTATCAAGAATCCTGAAAAAAAAGATGCTTAGAAACCATGCTTTAATTCAGCCCCCTGAACTGAGGGAAGCAGCAATGAAATAGCAAGTCTACCCAGCACAGGGTGGAAATTCTAAGCACACAAGGTCCTCTGGTCTTGGCTGGCTCCTGGGAGCCTTGCTGATCCCTCATTAGCAAATGCAGGGCTGACTGCTTCTGTTGTTGCATGAATGGGCTGTTGCCCTGCTGACTAACTGGACCCACTGGGGCAGCACTAATGGGCAGCAGCACTTTGCCTTCTTCGCCCAGGCAGACTGAGCCTACAGCTCAAACACGTGAGAAGAGGGGCCAGAGAACTGACTGTCCAGCCCTTGTCCCTCCTGGAGCATCTCCCAGTGCAAGCCATGAGCTGGCTTGCTTTCCCTCTCCATCCCTTGGTACCAACAGCAGTGAACTTGTGTCAATGCAGCATGTTTGCTTGTCCAGTCCCTCTCTTTCTCATGAAATGAGTCATGGTATGTGAATAGAAGAGTCCTGAGAGCTGAACAACAGTGTGATACCACAGTTCATGAGCTGTGTACAGAGATTTCTTGTTCTTCATAACTGATTTTCGAAGCTTTTTTTTCCAGGACAATGTACCAGCATATCCTTTTCCTTTTCCTCCTCTCCTTCAGTCCCTATAAATGCCAAGATCAAATCTTGAGTGAAGATCCATATGAAATGCCCAAAGACTACCAGGAGGTCTACAGAGGAACAAAAAATGATGTCAAAGAGATCCCAAAGATTGCAAAGCCCTTTGTTTCTGAGATGATCTTTGTGCAAACCAGCATCACTGCTATCAGGAAAAGTGCCTTCAGGTACATGCCCAACCTAACCAAGATTTTGTTCATTGGCAACAAGATCAAGACTGTTGAACCTGGATCCTTTGATAACCTGGACAAGTTGAGGGAATTGGACATCTCTGGTGCCTCATTAGAAAAACTATCTGTGGGCACTTTCCAAAACCTCCCAAGTTTACGGAGGCTGGAGCTGAGAGACAGCCAGCTCAGATCCATCCCCAAAGGCCTCTTTGATGGGCTGGAAAGTTTGGGAGAGCTCTCCCTGCACATCAATGCAATCCCTTCTCTTCCAGAAGGCATTTTTGATTCTCTTGTCAATCTAACTTTTTTGGACCTGTCTAGAAACAGGATCACAGCTCTTCCTGGGAATGCCTTTAGCAAACTCACCCAGCTGCAAGTCCTCCGGCTGTATGAGAATGAGTTGCAGGACCTCCAAGAGGGACTGCTGGACAGTCAGCTGGAGCTGCTGGAGCTCAGCCTCCAGAGGAACAGGCTCAGGGCACTGCCACCCATGCTTCTGAGGAGCCTGCATCACCTGGAGAAACTCTTCTTGGACAACAACCTCATCAGGGTTCTCCCAGCTCAGGGCTTTTTTGGTTTAAACAAACTGAAGTTGCTGACTCTGGGCTCAAACCATATTATGGAGCTCCCCTGCTGCCTTTTTGACACCATGCCACACTTGCGGGAGCTGGATCTGGGCAGGAACAGTTTGGCCACACTTCCAGATGGCGTCTTTGTCAATCTCACATCCCTTGGCAAGCTCATCTTGTCCCACAACCAGCTATCTGCCCTGCCAAGAGGAGTCTTCACAGGGCTCAGCAAGCTCTTGGACCTCCAGCTGGACACAAATCAGCTCTCTGCTCTGGATGAAGAGGTCTTTGCTTCTCTCCCAAATCTGAAAACCCTCAACCTTCGAAAGAATCAGCTGGAGAGTGTTCCCCAAGGGCTCCTAGACCCTCTGAAGAAGCTCAGCTCAGTGTATCTGAGTGGTAACCCATGGAGATGTGACTGCAACCTCTGCTACCTGCACCGCTGGATCCTGCACAACAGGGAGAAGGTCAAATTGTCCACCCAAGTCTCCTGCAAGAGCCCACCCCACCTGGCAGGGCAAGAAGTAACATTGCTGAGGGATGAACACCTGATTTGCCCAGGCACTCTGCCCTTTAACTCCACACCATCACAAAGGACAGCAACGTTCCTGTCACATGGAGCCACGTCCACAGCAGCACCAACCATGCTGTCATTGGCATCCTTTCCCATCAGGACACTGCCAACCACTCTTTCACCTGTGGTCACCTCTGCTGTGTTGCCAACCATGCCAATGGAAGTTGCCTTCACCACTCTGTCACCAATCAAGCCACCTAAGGCCTTTGTCACCACCCCACCACCAGCTGTGCTGCAGAAGACCTTCGGTGCCAGCCAATCAATAACCAATAAGCCCAAGGCCTCCATCACCATGCCATCAACAACCAGTGTGCCCAGGTCCTTCATCACCACACCATCACCAACTGTGCTACCAAAAGCCTTCATCAGCACCTCATCTCCAGCTGTGCTGCCAGAGACCTCCATTACAACCTCATCTCCAGCTGTGCTGCCAGAGACCTCCACTGCCACACCATCACCATCAGCTGAGATGCCCAAGGCTTCCATCACCACTCCATCATCAGCTATTTCAACTTCAGCCATTGTAAGGCTACAGTCTCCTGGGGCCGCTCTAGCTGCTGCCACCACACAGGTGCCAACAAGCCCACTGGCAGCCACCACCAGACAAGAGCCTCCTGCTCTCTCAGTGCCCAGGGAGAAGCCAGCCACCATCCCACAGGGAACACCCATAGCCCCCCTTGTCTCAGCTTCCTCCGTGGCACTCTGGCCATCCCCCAGGACTGCTGCTCTGGGCACAGTCCCACTGGCCTCATATTCGCCAACGCACCGTGCTCCTGCACCAGGCAGGGAATGGGCCTATTCCACCACGTGTGACCTGTCCACAGCTGGTGCCCAGCCCACCCCCACTGCCCCCCAACACGCTCCTGCTCCGGCAGGCACTGTCCTGCTCCCAACACCTCCCGTCCCCAAACTATCAGACAGCACGAGCCCCTGCCCAGCCTCTCCACCCCTGGTCCCCAGCAGCCATCGTGCCTGGGGATCATCCCTATGGGCCAGCCCATGGCAGTGCCAGGTGTCCCTGGCCTTGGGGGTGGCCGTGCTGGCACTGCAGGCAGCCTGCACACTGCTGGGGGGGGTGGTCGCCCTTCTTCTTCACCAGGAC